CTTTCTTTCTTTCTTTCTTTCTTTCTTTCTTTCTTTCTTTCTTTCTTAACAGCTCACTGTTGGAATCCTCCAAGCAGCTGAACTGCCAGCATTGGACATGGGAGGTACATCTGATCCTTATGTCAAAGTCTTCCTACTTCCAGACAAAAAGAAGAAGTATGAGACCAAAGTACAAAAGAAGACCCTCAATCCAACCTATAATGAGACTTTTGTCTTTAAGGTAAGATTTCTAATCTGGATATTCTTTGCATGGTTGGTATGTTGGCTTGGCTATTTTGCCTTCAAAATAATTTATGTACATCTGTGATCAATACCCAGCCTCACCCCAAATGGAACTCAAAAAGAAAAGGCTGGTAATGAAATGCTGAAGAACTAATACTTGAAACCATATCAAACAACAGGACATTATTCCTATAATAAATAGTCTACCAGTAAATGAGAACTGAAACACAATGGAGAAAAAGAATAAGAAAGTTGATTGAAATTTTAATAACAAGAATTAAAATGGCTGGCAGGGCTCAACACTGCCAGGATACTGGAAAAGTTGTCCAAACAATACGTGACTAGCAATTATGTCTTAGGAAATAGATAGTAGTAGCACTGTGATTAAATTCTCTAAAAAGTTTAGTTTTAGGCATTATGCTGTAAATTATATACGGTATGCCAATTTACATGTTAGTAGTACTGTGATTAAATTCTCTAGAAAGTTTTCTTTTATGCATTACTGTATGTCAATACATGTGTTAGTAGTGCTTAATTAGTTATCTAAAAAAATTAATTTTATGCATTTTATGTAGTTCATTTTGAAGAAGCAATCTTATTTGCTTCACTGAGGCAAAAATGCTACCCATTTGTCTTGATAAAGCAGTTTAGGTGGCCACAAAATTCTGTAGGCCAGTTTTTTGGAATATGGACATAATATAAAGATGGGAATAATATTTGTCAAAGCCAACACTGAAAGCTTTTCAGCCGTTACCCTTGAAAAATACTGCTGTCCTCTAGCAACAGCAATAGCACTTAGACTTATATACCACTTCCCCGTGCTTTTACAGCCCTATCTAAGCAGTTTACACAGTCAGCAACAATCTGGGTCCTTGTTTTACCCACCTTGGAAGGATGGAAGGCTGAGTGACTTTGAGCCTGGCGAGATTCGAACTGCCAAATTGCAGGCAGCTGGCAGTCAGCAGAAGTAGCCTTCATTACTGCATTGCAACCACTGCACCACAGTAGCTCTAGTTAATGATGTGGATGAGACATGCTAGCTAGGAACTTCTCGAAGACATTGTGGTTAGAAGACCTGCCTGACTGCCTAACTCCTAATGCCCAGGAGTTTCACTTTGCCTTAGAAGCAAGGGTGCCTCTATCACTTCATCAAACAGTTCTGAAGATGTATTATGTCTGAGCCTTCGTTGAAATAAACACTCCTTTGAAGTTTCATACAGTCCCCTAAGCATGTGAGAATATAAGCAATATTATGTTTTTATAACTTTCTGCTAAACAGAAAGTGGGAAGATCCATTTTTTCTATAGTTTAATATGAATGTCTGTCTTTATACCATTTATTAACAGTTTCAAAGCTTTTTTTAAATTACTAGAAGAATAAATAGAAATTTTAAAATCCAGGTATGAAATAGTTTATGCATTTTTCTCCTCTTGCGTTGCAAATTTTGAGACAATTTTATTAAGCTGATTCTCATATTTACTCAACATACTAGTGGAGTAATTTTTAATTAGTAACTGAATTTTAATCATGCTTTCCTTCTTTAAAATTCAAAATATTTTGAAGACAATGTATTATTTAAAACAACAAATTAAAAACAAAGCAAAATAAGAAATAATTTGAGGCAAAATAAGCATCAAGTCAAGCCAAAGATCTTTCTACACAAAGATCTGGTCATTTTTCTAAGGCTTTTAGATGCAGGGAGATGGCATGTATTATTACAAAAACTTTAAAGAGTAGTAAAAAAGAAAGAAAACTCTTGACCAGTTTATCTTGAAAGGTAATGTGATGCCCTTGAAATCTTAAAAGTTTATTACTGCTTGAATGGTATTCTGAAGGGTAGCTTCCACCTAAAACTAATGAATAAGTACTTCAGTCCACCATTATTTCATAATGAATATACTAGAAATTAAAGCAAGTGAGCCATAGCTACTCGCTTCTACTTTTTGAAAAGTTGTTCTTTTCTTGGTACAAAAAGTGGTTGACCATTTTTAATCCTAGAATCAGAATGTGAATGTCAGTTTAGAAACACTGGATCTATTTGTAATCCTCCAAGCTTTTGTACATTGTTTTCATTGTTTTCTTCCTCTTTTGCAAGGGCCTTAATCAAATTTCATGAAATTAGGCATCCCATATCACGAGATGAAAAGAAAGTAGTCTCTTCCCTATTTCTTTGTTGTCATGTAGTGAAGATCCAGATTTTTTGCACCCAAGATAGATTATGGCTACACAAGACCTTTCTAAAAGGTTTATCAATGTTTCCTTTCAATTGCTAAATATAGCAATAGCACTATATTGGCCAATATACCACTTTATAGTGCTTTACAGCCCTCTCTAAGTGGTTTACAGAGTCAGCATATTGCCCCCAACAATCTGGGTCTTCATTTTACCCACCTTGGAAGGATGGAAGGCTGAGTCAACCTTGAGCTGCTTAGAACAAAGTCCTGGAGTGAGCAGTGAGTTAGCCTGCAGTACTGAATTCTAATCTCTGCACCACCACAGCTCTATAGAAATGCTATATTATTGAAAAAGTTCCTTGACTTTTGTTGTAACAGATTCCATACCAAGAGCTTGGTGGGAAGACTTTGGTGATGGCCATCTATGACTTTGACCGATTTTCTAAGCATGATATCATTGGGGAAGTCAAGGTACCCATGAATACTGTGGACTTAGGACAACCCATTGAAGAATGGAGGGATCTAGAGAGTGCAGAAAAAGAGGAGGTAAGTGTTTTCTCCACTTGCTCTTTGAACTTCAGTTGTGAAATATGGATTTAACTTTCTCTACAAAGAATCTAGAGGTGGTAAATTTGGGATAGTCTCATGGTCTTGGGAAGAAAACGTCCCTGCTAGCCAGAACTCCCATACTTGAGCAGTTGAACTATGCTTGATCTCTAACCAGTCTGCATCTTATCTCTCTGCTGTTAAGCTGCTAGGGAAGTGATGGGCCCGCCCCTAAAACCTAGTTCTGGTTTATTACCTTGTTTGTAGAAGAAGGCTTTGGATTTAAAATGCAGCACTATTATGTGTATAGCTAACTACTTTGTAGGGGAAGTTGTCCTCCAAAACTAACAACTTCATATAATATGTTTTGTGCTACAGCTCTCATTAGTCTCAATGAGAGACTATGAGAGACTGTGATCAAGAACAAGCAGCAATGATGATATCTAAAAAGCCATCTGTTTCTAGAGCACTTCTGGGAAACTAAGTAATCCTATGTATCCTTTGCATTTGGCACAGGGAAATTCACTTTTCCAGCCAAAGGAAGAGTAACAGAATCAACAGTAGACGGCTGGTCTCCCCCATATAAAAACTTCCCAAAACAACATATTACAAATAAGATAGTTACATTTCTTTCTATCATAGGCACAGATAATTCATAAGACACAGTAGGAGCTTTGAGTTCATTATTTTTCCAAATTTCTGTCAACAGCCAGAGAAACTGGGAGACATCTGTATCTCATTACGATATGTACCCACTGCTGGGAAATTGACTGTCTGCATACTGGAGGCCAAGAATTTGAAAAAGATGGATGTTGGAGGACTTTCTGGTGAGTGAAAATCAACAACATATCCACTAGGTGACACTTCTGAGCTATTCCAATATCCGTCAGTACAAACAAATAGTTCCCCTTCAAGCATTCTGCAGTCAAAAAGACCATTAGAGAGCAGCAGAGATACAGAAACCTCAAATACTATTTGCCATCTAGTGTTTTTCTGTGTACTTTGTAGAGCATAATATGCTTACTTTCTTTTGCAAAATCTTTGAGTTCAAAGCTTCTTTGATTTTTTGACATGAAAACAGTTACCAGCCCATGTGCTTGCTGGAAAATCTTCATGAATAGTGGCTAGATTCAGGGGTGAGATGCTACCGGTTCTGCCTGGTTCTAAAGAACCAGTAGCTCTGAAGAGCAGCAGACACCAAACCAGTTTTGTGTTTGCTGCTGTTTGGCCCACCTGCCTGCCTGGGCTCTTACCTGTCCTTTATTTCCTGCTTTTTCAATCTCAGCTGCTTTGCGCGGCACAACTGAGGTTGAAAAAGCAGGAAAAAAGAGGCTTTTCAAACACTGTGCACCCAGCTTTTCAGCTGTCCAGGCAGCACAGCTGATGATTTCTTTTACACGCGTATAGTCACCAAACCAGTAGTAACACTGGTTGAATCCCAGCCCTGGCTAGATTCCAAGGTACACAATGAATGTGGGCAAAATGCTGAATCGGAAGGAAAGGTAGCAACACTACTGGATCTTCTTGTCCATTTGTATTTTAAATTACACGTCCAGTTCCTTCTTATAATTTTCTTAACAAGAGAAAGAATCCAAGCATATTCAGAGTAGGCAGAGTAGGCAGAGTAGGCAAGGCAAACCCCTGCCACCCAATAAACTTCATTTCTCCAAAATTCTTACAATAGTATAGTTAACTAAATATGTTAATGAAATATCTGGAAACCAAAAACTAAGCTTGGAGACCACCAGGAGACCACCAACAGTGTAATATTTATTTATTTTATTTATTGATTTGATTTGTCAATCACTTACAAGATAATAGGTATAAGTATAAACATAGTTATGAATACATGAAATGGATACATATAAGAAAAATTAAAAAAATCAATAGGACAGGGACACTAGGCATGTTGGTGCACTTATGCATGCCCCCTACAGACCTCTTAGGAAGGGGGTGAGGTCAATAGTAGACAGTCTAAGGTTAAAGTTTTAGGGGTTTGGGGAAAAAAACCACAGAATCAGGTAGAGTATTCCAGACATTGATCACTGTTGCTGAAGTATTTCCTGCAATCAAGTTTGGTGCACTTAACCTTGAGTTTATATCTATTGTGCGCTCTTGTATTGTTATGGTTGAAGCTGGAGTATTCATTGACAGGTAGGAAATTGCAATGGATGATTTTATATACTATACTTAGATCGGACCGAAGGCGGCGTAGTTCTAGATTTTCTAGGTCTAGAATTTCAAATCTGGTGGCATAAGGTATTCTGTAACGAGTAGAGGAGTAGAGAACTCTTCTTGTGAAATATTTCTGGACTTTCTCAACTGTTTAATATCAGATACGTAATGTGGGTTCCAGACTGATGAGCTGTATTTGAGTATTGGTCTAGCAAATGTTTTGTATGCTCTAGTTAGTAGTGTGATATTACCAGAGAAAAAGCTACATAGGATTAGGTTAACAACTCTTAATGCCTTTTTGGCTATGTAGTTATAGTGGGCTCTAGCACCTAGATCATTAGAGATGAGTACTCCAAGGTCCTTGACAGAGTTATATGCCAACCCTTAGATACACATACAATATTATCTACTTTTAAAATTATTCTGGCCAGATGTTTTAAAAGCTGGGAGAGCATAGAACAAATACGATCCCCCCAAATGTACATTTGATAGCTTGCAGATGCATCAAATTAGTATTCCACAAAGATGGGCCTTAGATAGACACTTTCAGAAGAATTTTCCTGCAAATCTTAACCATCAACAGTTTCATAGCGTGGAGGTAGTCTTTTACACAGTCAAACTTTAAGCCATTGAGGACTTTTAAATAAATACAAATATATTAAACAATGCTTGGTAAGCAATTCGCAATCAATACAGAGATTTCTGTGTAGGCATCAGAAAATACCATCTAAAATACTTAAATAAAAAGCATAAAATACCAGTCAACCCGCTGCAACTTCTGAGTATTTTAAATGTAAGTCCCAATAGAATGCATTTTACTCATAGACTCATGGATCTTCTGGTCCAATGCCTTCACTGGACTAAGAAAATTTATACCATCTCAGGCACATATGAAAACTCCAGTGCTGGAGTGCCCACAATGCCAGGGACAAGTTGTTCCTTTTCTCTTCATAGCTATCAAGGTAAAAAAAAAACAACCCTCATTATTTCAAATGTGGACTCCCCCTATGTAATCTATCCACTGGTTCTTGTTCTACCCTTGAACATTATCTATACCCTCTTCCTTGTTGACAGTCCTTCAAGTATTGGAAAATTGCTTCTTGTTAAAGGCTGTCAGATATGGACTTTACTCATAGTCCTCATTCCTTTTTGAACATGCAAAGATGCTATTTCATCAACAAGGCAGAGCTCTCATAATCTAATAGAACTAATTCACCAAAACTACAGTTTAAAATTATAGAATATGCAGGGAAAGCTCACTTCAGATAACTAAGTACAGAACGGCTGGTTCTGAATGTAAGAATAAACCTGAGGTTCCTTTTTCCTGAATCTATTGAATGATGACTCAAAAACTCATAAAACACCCTCCACCCTTCTCCATAGTCTTTCTATAAACCACATGGTCTTAATCTCTGACTAGTGAAATCCTTTTTGGATCTCTAAGGAAAATGTTTTTCTACATTTATTTTTAAAAAATAGCATAAGGAAAAGTCCTGTTTTATACTGAATCCTGACAGCTGCTTTTTTCTGATCTCAAACTTGAATAATTATCCAAATATAAAATAAAAACATATTTAAGCTAAGTCTGTATGTGGTCTGGTGACTCACTATCTAAATTTTTAGAGGATCTTGCAATCATGGGTTTGGAAGGCTTAAGAAGCAATGAAACCTTTGTCTTCTGTGACTTAAAAATTAATGTTAACAAAGTTTACATTATTTATTTTCTGCTTTCCAGTATTCGTGTAAAGAAATATAAAAGGAAAAGATTTTTTAAGCAAAAAGATTGGTTTAAAAAGAAATAAAGTGAAGTTCTGACAAAGTAAGAAAGAAATAAAACAATACCCTGGAGTGAAGCAAGGAAAAACCTGAAAAAAATAAGGAAGTTGGGCAAGGCAAGGCAAAAATCCACTCACTTGGTTGTTTTCTTGCAGACATTTCATTGCCCAAACTAATTAACATCACCTGTAAATAGACTAAATAAATAAATAGGACTTCTCTGGAAATCTAGAAAACAAGTTGTACAGTGAAAATGTACTGAAGCTTTGATAGAAAAATATATCAGAATCTTGCAGAAAACATAACAGAAGCTGCACTCCCCTAGATCAAAATTCTGATCCATCTACTCCAGCAGCCTTTTCTCACAGTAACAAACTAAGTACACAACAAGTGTCCCAGCAGAAGGCTTCATAGGCAGTCATTCTGCCATCAAGGTTAACAGCCATGAATACCCATGACTTCCATGAATTGGTCCAACCTTTTTGAAGTCAGCCAAGCTGGTAGCCAGCATTACATCTTGTGGCAGAAAATTCCAAAATCCAGCAACATATTCCATTAAAAATATTTTCTCTATTGAAGGATTCGGTTTCATAGAGTGACCTCTGGTTGAAATATTTGGGGCAGGGGCAATTGTCCTTTCATTCACTTTGTATATGAGAGATAATCTCCAGATAACCTGTTCTTGAGGTTTTATCTATATCTTTGAATGGCTTGTTTATGTATTTATTTAGTTTTGATTGTAAAATTCTATTGTTTCAGATCCTTATGTGAAAATTCATCTGCTGCAGAATGGCAAAAGGCTTAAGAAGAAGAAGACTACAGTCAAGAAGAAGACCCTGAATCCCTATTTCAATGAATCTTTCAGCTTTGAGATTCCCTTTGAACAGATACAGGTTCCCATTTTTCTCATTTGAGGGAGTGGGATTATCCAGGCAGCTCCCAGAAAACTTTGAGTTGGCATATTTCTCCATTGTCTCCCACTGCTTCACAAAGCACAAGAGGCAGATCCATAATTGGAAACAGGCAGTTCTCCATCAATGATGGTTGAACCTTGGAAAGGAAATGGGTTCAAATGCAGCTGGTGTCTCTCTGATATCTTGAGTAATTTATCATCATGGCTATGGCATCACCCAGACAGTTGGCCATGCTGGATGGAGATGGTGATAGCTGTAATCTGATATATCTAGAGGGTGTGTGTTTGGAGCAGTACATGATTCCCTTTCTCCTCATTCCTTCTCGTTTTATGCCCCTTTAATAAAAGTTTACTTGTAAGATTGTACAGGGAACCTTTCAGCAGAGTGGGTGGGGGAGGAGAATCCAATGATTCTTTCACAGTATTCTTTTGTATCAGACAGATCTTTTGTGGAACTCAATAGGCTAGAAATATTATAAAGATATAAGTTTAATTTATGTATCTTTCTGAAGCCTCTACTGCACTGGGACCAAGGAAGTGAAACTGTATATTGCAGCTCTGATTTAAAAATCTAGTGTTTTCTACTCGGTTACGTCCAAGTCTGTGGTCATGCTTGTTGGGAATCTGGAGAATTAATGGTCTTACCAAATATCAGATTGAGAAGGTTAAATTTTTTTATAAAGGACAGGCAGTCAGGCAAGCAAGCTGATTAATTGGCTAGCTATTGAAGCCCTTTGCCAAATATCTTTGCTGATGTTGTCAGTCACATTAACAATTCCTACATTTCTTTCATATTCTCTCTCTCTCTCTCTCTCTCTCTCTCTCTCTCTCTGTCTCTCTCTCACACACACACACACACACACACACACACACCGTGAATAAGTTCCTCTTGGATTTAAATCTATACGCGGAATATCAGCATGTAACAGAACATAACTTTATCATGAAAATAGTATTTCTTTTCTCTTTAGAGGAACATTGGCCTAGCTTCAGCCAGAAATGATATTTACCTGAAGAATTCTTTCTACTTAAATCTTCTCATTGGAGATTTTCTGAATACTCTAAATATTTAATTTTATTAATTTACTAAATGAACTATAACATGTATTATTCACTTTTTATTATAGTCATAACTCTAGTGTGGGGTACAAAATAAGATTAAAATAATAAAATCGGAGCAAGTGACTAGAATTATAATATTAAACCAACAGATTAAAATATTAAAACCAGAACGACAACAGCAACCAGGAATAAAGCAGCATCAATTCATGTAAAAGTCTGGATGAACGTGTTTTCTAGCACCAGCTACAACTGAGAAAATACTAAAGTATATTTTCAAGATCCTCTCCTCTTCGCCCATAAATTATCTCATAGATCTTACTGAAAAAGCAAAAACAGTCCTAGGTTGCATTAATAAAGGGATAGAATCAAGATCATATGAAATATTAACTTTATATTGCCTTGGTAAGACCACACTTGGAATATTGCATCCACTTTTGATCTCCACAATATAAAAAAGATGTTGAGACTCTAGAAAGAGTGCATAGAAGAGCAATAAAGATGATGAGGGACTGAAGACTAAAACATATGAAGAGAGGTTGCAGGAATTGGATATGTTTAATTTAATGAAAAGGAATAGGGATGACATGATAGCAGTGTTCCAATATCTAAAGGGCTGCCACAAAGAACAGGGGTCAACCTATTTTCCAAAGCTCCTGAAAGCAGGATGAAAAGCAATGGATGAAAAGCAGCCTAGAGAGAAGGAGAAATTTCCTGATGGTTAGAACAATTAATCAATGGAATGGCTTGCCTCCAGAAGTTGCAAGGGCTCCATCACTGGAGATTTTTAAGAGATTAGACAATCATTTGTCTAAATGATGTAGGAACTCCTGCTGGAGCAAGGGGTTGGACTAGAAGGCTTCCACAGTCCCTTCCAACTCTGTTCTTCTTTTAATTTGGCCTTACTAATGATCTCTGTTTTCTTGCTTCTCTCCAGAAAGTGCAAGTTGTAATTACTGTCCTGGATTATGACAAGTTGGGAAAGAACGAAGCCATTGGAAAAGTCTTTGTTGGCAACAATGCCACAGGCACCGAGCTCAGGCACTGGTCTGACATGCTTGCCAACCCTCGCCGCCCCATTGCCCAGTGGCACTCCTTGAAACCTGAAGAAGAGGTGGATGCAGCTCTTGGGAAAAACAAATAGGCAGCTCCATTTTCCAACATCACCTAATGAACATTCAAAGTGATCCAGAGCTATCAATACCTCAGTTAGGCAACATTTAGTTTTTGTTCTCTTTTCTAAGCTGCAACACTCTTTCTTTGATGGCTACAAAGGAATCCGGGTGAACTCAAGAGTATCCAGGAAGAAGTGGTTTAAAAGCTTGGTGGTTCCTTCTTTTCATATTCTTCCAAGTAGTTGGTTTGCTGCATGTCCCACCATCTTTCTGTGTTATTCTCAAGTGTACAGCAAGCTTTTTATTTGGGTTTTCCTGAGACCATCACAAATAACAGCACAAAACAGCTTTGCTTTTGCTTGTTTTGAGAGTTTCCTCCTTAAATGAGACCTTGTGCTACAGGATGATACCAGAGCCTGAAAATGTGAGATGGCCAGATACTCTGTGCTTGGTTTTTTGGGGGTGGGAGGGGAGAAGCAAGTTGTATGAAAAGGCGCTGCTGCAAAACTGTGTTCAGTAAGGTTTGGCCATTAGCCATCTATCAGGAATATTCAGGAAAAGCAATACTGGCACTGGGACATCTCTGAAGACGTGGATGGCTGGTGGATTAATTGTCTGTAATGAGAGGACTATGGTTTGGGGCATACAAGTTGCCAAATGATAATTGCCCTGTAATAACTAATATAGTGGGTCTTCTGTTAACCTTTGAATGTTCTGTTCTTAATTAAAACAATGGAGTGGTACCAGAAGATCATTGGAGCATGAAATCTACAAATGCATGCTTCTGTGGAAGGCAGAATGTAAAAACGTTCGTTTTCTTGGGGAAAAAAAAAGCCAAACACCATGTGATATTTATTCTAGGCTTCACGAGCTATCGATTTATATGAAAATGTCACTCTTTCTAAGATAGTTAGCTTATTGGTAGCAGTGCCAAGCTTAGATGCATCAGAAAAAAGCTATGTCAAGCATCTTAGGCAGCTTTGCAAATTGGATAAAAATGATAGGCCTGGGTTGATTTGCAAACATTTGCTATCATGCCATTTTACTGCCATTCTTCTTTTAAAACCACAATAGTCTATAACTCTGTTGAGTGCTGCAGATTGATTGGTGAAAAATGTTTATTTTTATGAATTTGGAACTTAAAGGATGTGAAGAAAATGCTTGAGACTGAGGTCTATGTGTTTTTCTAATGCTGAATAGCAGGAACTTGTAGATAAGTGATGGGTTAGAAACAGCAGGAAGGTCCATCTAGTGGCCAGCACAGTGCAATAAGTATCTTAAGGAAGTTTAATTTAGAAAAAAAATAAGTACCATCTGTTAGAAACTCCACGCCCCCACCCCCAGCCACATTTAATTAAGGGAGCAAAGCCAGAAATTAGTGGGAAAGTGAATTCCTTCCAACCAAAATACCAAAGATATACCAAAAGCAGCAGGGCCTTCTCTTGTCTGGATGCCAAAACATTCACGATTTCTTTTTGCTAATCCCAGAAAGTCAAGCCATATTATCATTGTTCCTGGTGCTTGCATTGATCTCTGGGGAAAAAAAAACCTGCCCCTGTTTTTTTTATGTAGTGCCAGATACAGATACCTTTTCAGACTGATGGTAGTGGAAGGAGATTAAATGGAGGCGAGGAAATAAGATTTTTGAAATAAAAACTTCTTTTTGGTGTTCAATATTGTATTAGAATTAATGAAAAGAGGGTGAAATATCAAAACCATGAGCCTAGGAAAATTTGAGAGAGTAGTTTTTATTATTGGTGACCACTGAATTGCTTTTGTCTGGAATATCTGATCAGGGTTGAAGGAGTAAAGTAATGGTTTTCAGTTATGAGGCTGAGTGAGCAGAGCTCAGACTTGTATCTGACTTGTAAGTACAGGTACAATAGGAACAGATTTTTAAATCAGACAGTTTTAAGAGGAGAGAGAAACAGGAAATCCAGTGTATTCAGCAGTTTTTCCTGGCTGTACCTATTCATCTTGCATCTGGTTCTAAATTCTAACTTTAACCATCTGCCAGCATTGCCTTCAAGTATATTAGTTGCTTTGTCTTTGTGCTCGTTGTGCTCCCTGTAAGGGCCTAACAAAAAGCAGATTGATAGTACAAAAAGCATTCCATTCTGGTTCCTCACTGAGTAGTGCTATATATTCAAAGAATAGTTTCTTTCTCAATCCCTCTTAACTTAGAACATGATATATATATATATCCAATTAAGAGTGAGGTCATCTTTATCATTGTTGCATCATTTAGACTGCAAATAAGGACCAAAGTAATCAAAGGCCTGCTTGTTCCACTTGTACCTAAAATGTAAACAAATCAAACAAAGTACCCATGACTGAAAGTGAAGCCAGAATTTTTGAGTTTCCTGTGTGAGATCTCTTTCTTTCAAAAGAATCAATGCAAAGGATAGATAGATCATACAGATGAAAATTGAACAATTTGAGTTAAGACAGTTGATTCTAATTCTTAAAGCATTTCATTCAATATGTTGTAGGCATCCTTTATTCTTTTCTACACATTTTCACCTGATTAACTCACTGTACAACTAGTGAGGAGTGAGAAACATTACCACCTGCTTAAATGCTTCAAAATAAGCTGCCTTGGTATATCCAAGCAGAGAGACAAAACAGTAGAAAGCTTTCTGTGTGCTCTCTCCAAATCCCCTTCCTCGTTTAATTACATCTAAATGGCTGTAATTTTACGTTGGTTCACTGGGTGCATTGGTGAGCTATCACACTTGGAGCTTTGGCCCTAACTACACAAAGGGAATATTGAAATTGTTCAACTGGCTCTGAAGAAGCGTATGTACTTGTTTATATGCTTAATCAGAAAAATTAGACTTAATAGAACTTTTATGTGCAAATAAGTTTGATGCAAGCGTGTTCTACAAAGGGGTATGTGGAACCTGTTCCCAATTCCTTTATTGTGCCTCTTTAGCTTTAAATGCTGTCAGTTGGCAAGGTTATAAGATTTCAAGCATCATTAATGCATCCTAGTGGACTTCTGAAATCAAACATGAGTTTTGGTTTTCAAATTTAGACCTACGTCTTTAGAACAGAACTACTCTAAGGTGAGACTGTTCTAATGAGAAAAGAATGAATCTCTCTCCACTAAAAGCAAATGTTGACAAGTAAGGTAACTTTCCTGGTGGGATTATAAACCATTGAGGAGATTGTTGTCATATTATTTCTAAGGTTAGCTGAAAGAAGGGTAAATTTTGCTGATCATATTATTGTTCGGGTTTTTTGCTTTTCAGGGTAAACAGAATTGAAATTAGCCATCATCTCTTTAAAATTGCTGTGAATGAGACTGGGGGAATGGAAGCAGTGCCTCTTAGAGATGCCTATAGTTTGAATAGGGTCTGACAGACAAATTTTTATTTTTGCTGTGATCAATTATAGAACAGTGGTTCTCGCACTTGGGAACTTGAAGATGCATGGACTTCCACTTAATTCTGGCAGTGGAAGTCCACACATCTTCAAGTTATCAAGTTTAAGAAATACTGAACTAAAATATTGTCTGCAGAGACAATAGTCCTTTTGTCTTTCCTTTTTATCACCAGTTGGACTGCAGAATCCTTTCCACAGCTGCAGAATGTGGGATCAGTTCTGGTTTTGCATCCGCCATTGTATGAGTGTAATGTTTGCTCTGAGCTGCAAAAATATCCTCATCATTCTGTCATTTATTCATTTCTTAGCTGCTTTTCAAGAGGTCATTATTTAAAGGCTTTATTATTAAAAGCATTATTTAAATGTTAATTCCGGTGTTAGCAAACACGTGCCATTTTAAATATGTTGATATGTAACTCTAATCTGACCTGAAATGACTTTTTATAGAGCCCTCAAAATTAATATACCTTTCTGGCTTGACAGTTTCTACTTATAAGCTGTATCCATTATAAATCATTCCTTCATTCACACTACAAAACAGATGGCTACCTGAGCTGTTTAACTGCATTGGTGCTTATACCCCAGGATAGTGCTTCTACTCACATTGTTACTTCACATTTGATAGATACTTCTGCATTGTTACTTTTACACAGAAATTGTTAGTTTTGCCAGAAGACAAAAAAAGTGCTGAAAGCAATGGCTCTGTCAGTCTTCGCTAGTTAATAATATATTAGGTGCACATAGCAATTCATGTTAAAAGGTATATCCAGCCAGTTTGATTGAATCTAGCTGAACATTGGAAAGACGATATCACTGTGAGGTGTAAGAAGGCTGCTGTGCTCTCACTAGCTTAGAATAAACATTTGAGTATCTTAATTTTTAATGGTTCATATGACAAAATGGCAGCTTCATCATGCTTTGTTCCTTCTGCTAGCCACCCAGGTTGCCCTATCTGAAAGCAGGGTACTGGAAATATTAATACTAATAAATCAAAAGATACCCTTTTATTGAACTAAAACTTCTATTTCTATGGTTTAAAATGGTTTAATAGTCAGTATATTTTGTTGAGTTTCTTTTCTGTATAAAAGGGTTTAGAAAATGAATCAATTTAGCCATCTAAGCCTCATTCAAATTCCATCATGTGTGTGTACTTATGTATAAAATGATTATAGAGATCTAATATTAACATAAATACAACCTTCTTATAAATGATGCATGACAACTAGCACAGTATTTACGTAAAAGCATGCAAGAGCAGAACTCATACAATATGTGGATTATCACTCATTTTCTAGAAATACAGCCAGGCTACAGAATTATTTTTAAAATGTGGTATGAATGAATTTATTTTACCTAACGCAATAGAGGGGGATTGTAAAAAAAAAAAAAATCAGAGAGAATGGTTGTAACAACATACATTTATTTTCAATAAAAAGTAATAATTTTTTAAAACAAACAAAAAAAAAGCAACAAAGCATGCTTGATCCATTAAAATATATACTCGGTGAAAGCAGGGAGGGGTGGGATAAGATATAACACCAAGATGGCAGTAAGTTTCATCAGTGTCTTGTATAATTAATATTTGCAAAACTGGTGGCATTTTTACTATGTTCAGATAGCCACAACATTGCAGCTTCAATGTTCTGTGTGGTATTGAAGCCTCTACTTTTGAAGCAAATTTTAGAAGCCATATAAGATCACAGGCTGCCACGATCCTGAAATGGGGATTGGCTAACAAGTGATCCTTGCTCCCTCTGCTTCCCTGTCTCTGCTTTCTTTGTCTGTCTTGCTGTCCAACTGTTACATTATCCACTTGGGTCACTGATGAGCGATAAGGCTGGTTTGAGGCTCTACCTGGGGTCTGGCCTTGTTCGGCTATGAATGGCATTGGTCTGAAGCCTTTTTTTAGCCTGTGTGTAGGGGCCCTGGTGGCAGATTTGGGAACTGGAACATCTGGCAGGTCTATCAGTGCCCATAAGCTATTTTGGCTGTTCCCCTTGGCAAGAATTATTAGGATAGAAGTGGCTATACACTGACCAACAGGGAGGCTGACCAACATTTGAATTTCTCATGGGGTTGCTCTGGCATGTTGGGGGAAATTTAAATGTTCCACAGTTTTCCAGAATAGAGAAGCAATAACTGACATTGGAGCTCTTTCCTTTTAGCTTGAAAAAATTAGAGCTATTTGGCAAATACTAGCAATTTGTTTGTCACTTTATGCCTGGCAACAGAATATAAAACACATGCTTTCAAAATTATTTGGAAGATATGCTTCAGATCTCACACTACTGCTGCAATTCTCGTACTAAGCAGCCTCCTCTGTTTCAAGTCTGTTGGAATACTGAGAAAAATACACTACTGCTTAAAAGTACCAGTTCATTAAAGTGAACTGTAAGTAAATTATTTTCAAAGCTGGCACAGCTTTTCTGCCTAAAATAGTGTCTGCCTTTTTCAGTAAGATGCAAAACCATAATTCTTAATGGTTAAGAGACAAACACAACTAAAGCAGCCATGTTTTGTGTACATGGACTTTGCACTTTGGTGCAAATGATTATGTATTGCACAGCTTCAAATTGAGGAAAGATTGGTGAGCAGGTCAAGAATTAAGTGAAGAAGATAGCACTTTTTAGCTAGGATTTTCAGAATGGCTACCTAACATAACTTAAAGTATCTTCTGTACTTAAGGAGTGTGTGGCAAAGAGGCCTCTACCTCCTGTGATTTTGTAATTGGTTGTTTATGCATAAAAGGACCAAGGACTCAATCCTGAGAGAAAGAGGCTAGTGTTTAATGTGGTGCAGTATTAATAAAATCCCTGAAGATCCTCAAGGCAGTTTTGATTAAGACAGGGTACTTGGTCATCAGGGATTGCTGACCTGCTCCTCTTATGCTACTTTAACCTTTAGAAATCAAAGGAGTGATGGCAGCAGTGCAGAAGTGTTGCAAATGGCTCAGGAAGAAAAATACAATGCTAACTGGGATTTTTCCCACCTGCTTTAAAGTGCCAGGTGATTTTGTGCCAGGTGCCTTTAGCACTATATTTATTAACAGAGTTCAGCATATCATTATTTGACCACCTAATAGCATTTGAGGCTACTATTAAAGGCATAACTACAGAGGGAGATGATGGCACTCCAACTTCCAAATAGAGCAGCTGTATGACATGATGATGACCCACCACAGGCTAAGTTCCAAAAGGCTTCAGACATCTGATACTCAGGTGTAGGGTGGGGTCTCAGCTCCTTTCCATTCCAGCCATATTTCCTCTGTGATGTAGAAGCTTCCCAAACTGACTAAATTTACTGGAGTCTTCACCTCCAGTTGTCTTCCTTACTTCAGGTGCAACGTGATTCAACTCCCCTAAGCCTGCAGGAAGCTGCTTTTAATGGTCCCTTCCCTATCCTCATGTGGACTGTTTCTGTCTTTATTGTCAACCTGTTATTTTGTAATGATATGTGTCTCCTTATTAAAGAAATTAGCTGAAATATCTAGATGTTCTTTGTGTTTATTGAAAAGTAGACACACACTTTAAGAATAGACTGAGAAATTGATTGTCACAAGGATCATAGACAATTTTAGCAGCTGCATGATGATTTTGTCTCATTTTAAAAATTGCTATCCCTATAAGACAAATTCTCTTTAGCTCTGGGGCTGCGAATACTGGAGTTCAGAGTCCAGCACAACTACAACATGTTAGTTAGGAATATACCAGATTAAACTCAATCATGCGGTACAATAAATCTTTCTAAGGCCATCAGGATTTCTATACAATCCTTCCTTTCTTATCTACAGAGTTTGCCTTTTATTTTTAAAATGCTTGAATTAAAATCATAGCTAATAAATCAGCTTGCCAATTCTGCAGTTAAAGGGGCTTAGAAAATGTATTCCTCACATAGGAGCAACCATACTTGCATTGACATAAATAGCTCCAAATTAAAAAGGTCTTACTTCAAATCCTATTTCAAAGGTATCTTAGATTGCTGGGTACAACAGACGGATCAACCTACAAACCTGAAAGGTTGCTGCAAGGGTTATTAAAATATGTAATATGCATAGAAATACACTATGCATTGCTTTAGACCCAAGCTTTGCGTGCCTTTCCAATTCTTGGAAGAATCCAGAAAAGGATCAGATTGGGAGGCACACACCCCACTGCAAAAATGGATTCTTCAAGTAGGATATTCAAATATTTTGCACTTGTATTTGAAACTAGGCAGACCTTCCTTGCCAACCAGCAAATTTTCTCCCCAATTACTGTATCATCAGGTTTGCCTTCCTTAGAGGGTTATAATAGAAGCATTCTCACTTTATTTTGAGGTCATTAAAAGAGAAACTGGATCATCTCTAAGTTAGAAGATGGGATGAGGTAAGTTTTCTTATAAGCTCCTATAGTCTACCGAGCAGTAACCTTATGAACCTGGTTAAAAATAAAACACTTTTGTCAAGTCAAATGCATGTGCACCCATTTGGACTCATTTCTGGGTTGGCTCACTGTTGCTATGATTGGACTTTGTCCTGGATCAGAAAGCCATACGCACAATATGCTTTCTTAAATTTTCCTGCTTCATACACAAAAAGGCCATTCCATTGACTGCAGTGAATATTTTTAAAAATTACTGGCCAACCAGTGGGCCATTTCAGAGCACGTATGTGATGAACTTCTGGTTTGGGTCTAACAATTATGTGGAGAAATGTGATAGATAACAGCAGTAATTGGCTGCTAATGGGAAATATTGCAGTAAGGCAGATTTCTCACAAATCAACAGCAGAGGTCCTTCCAACCTGTGCTATTCTGTAATCATAAGCACAATCATGTACAAGAAGTTATTTGTTTTCTGATTATTTTACTAATTGAAACTGGGCCTGATTATTCCCTGTGGTATAGCTCTTAGGCATTGGAATGATATATGGAACATTTTGGCTGCACCTATAATTTTTCTAAAACCTGGCTAATGATTCCAATAAAAAAAGTATCAAGTTTCTCCTGTTGTCTAGAGAAAAAACATGGGTCATTCCTGCTGTTGGAGTCTCTTCCCAAAATGCTTACAAACTAATCTTCAACAAATGCAGGCTATGGTTCAAATTTTGCATGAACTAACAAGCATCTCAAAACAAAAAGCTTTTGTAGGGTATATAAATGATTGGCTAACTATTTGGGGGAAATGCACAGTATTAAACACTTTATTGAGCAAGGTATCCCCCATGACAATTCCATTGTGTGTAGTTTTTCAATTGTTAGGGTGCATAATAATTAGATTTTATTTCACTTGTAGCAAAGCAGCCATCAATTGACTTCTGAGCTTTGTGGGATCTGAAATCACAAAAGGGTAAACACACTTTATGTTCTCTTCTGGAATCAGACTCATAACCAATTTATCACTGGTGTGTTTTATAGAGATGTTTGAGAATACTCAGTTTGGTTTTGATGGAAATACTCTGTGTTGTCAGACTAGAAAAGAGGGGAATACAACTTGCAATACATGAGTACCTCAGTTGCCTTAGCTATCTGCCAGCCAATTACCTGTTATATATACAGTAGTCCTGTCAGTTACTGCGATACACTTAACCAGCTAAATATGAGCCAGCAGTGTGCTGCAGCAGCCAAAAAAGCTAATGCAATCCTGTTGCATTAACAGAGGGATACAATCAAGATCAAGGGAGGTACTAATACCATTCTATAAAGCCTTAGTAAGACCACGGCTAGAGTACTACATCCAGTTTTGTTCACCAGATTATAAAAAAGGTGTTGAGACTAGAAAAAGTGCAGAGAAGAGCAACCAGGATGATTAGTGGACTGGAGATTAAAACATACGAAGAACAGTTAGAAGGAACTGGGCATGGCTAATCTAGTGAAGAGAAGGACCAGGGGAGGCATGATAGCAGCCTTCCAATATTTGAGGGGCTGCCACAGGGAGGAAGGGGTCAAGCTATTTTCTAAAGCACCCAAGGGCCAGACAAGGAATAATGGATGGAAACTAAACAAGGAGACATTTAACCTGGAAATAAGGAGAATCTTTCTGACAGTGAGAACAATTAACCAATGGAACAGTTTGCCTTGAAAGTTGTGGGAGCGCCATCACTTGAGACTTTCAAGAAGAGATTGGACTCTCATCTGTCAGAAATGGTGTAGGGTCTCCCACTTGGGAGGGGGGGTTTGACTAGATGACCTAAGGTCCCTTCCAACTCTGATTGTCTGTTAAATCTCGTTTCTCCAAAATATCCCCACCTTTTGATATTACATTTGAATATCTTCTATATAAAACACATAACTTTTTTTTAGAAGAAGATTGCTGCCATAGGGGAGATGCAGCCATGACAATTGCTCTTGCAAACCTGGGTGGGTGCTGTTTAAGAAGAATTGTTTCCTTTCCTACAATGTGGAATGCTGATGGTAGCTTTCCTTCAGCAATTTTCATTAAAACAAAATCACCTCTGTGGATTTAATAAAATGTGTTTGTCTTCCCCCACAAAAAGCAATTGCCTATCAGAATTATTAATAAAGCAAGGACAAAAAGTCACCATAAGGAATATGAAAAAAAGCTCCTTCTTTTGATTCATCTGGCAGCAGCTTTTGGTCAGGCAGCAGCTTTGCTATATGTGATGGCAGTTCATAGAACAGTGTTTCTATCTCTGATCAGGTTGGAATGCAATAGCACATAAAGACATAAAGTCATCTGCTTTTCCTTGCCTCCTATCCTGCAGAAAATAGTTCCTTCCTGTGCTAACAAGCCATTCTCTACAGAATTTTAAGCTGGTTTAATGCAACGTGCTCATCATCCTACTGTACGTGTGCTCAGCCTCTCCAGGAAGAAAAATGCCTTCCTATCTAAATAAATGAAACAAGGGAGCAGGGCGATGTGTTCATGTCTATCAAGGTTCTGGTATTTAAGGGTTAATTGATAGATTAATGCCTCTCCCAAGTACACTAATTAGTTCTCCAACCAACACTGACAGGGAAAACCACTTGTATAGAAACAGAAAGCAAGCCCCATTCCCTTCCAGCACTGATGAGGTTGCCTAGTTGGGTAATGAATGATACATCCTCAAGAAAACAACCAAGCTCAGAGGACACTACGAACTCCACAAATTAGTGCCTCTATACTGAGACCCGGAGATTGAAATTTCCTATTTGCATATTGAGCCAAGTTGTAGGCAGATAGCTTTATCATTTGTCACTTCAGGAGGAAATACAGATCCTGTATCTCATAAAGTCATTTTAACAGCATGCCAATTGTTCATATG